AGAGAGCGCCTAGCAATATTCCACGAAGCTGGAAGGGAAGACAATGTGTATGTATGCACTACACTCATCAGCAGCATCTAACATCCTACCTTTCTGTCAAAGACGGGCTAAGTTCTCACCTTTCCACCACTAACCAAGGTTTACTTGGAAGAACAACCATCCATTTCCTGAGAATGAGCACAGAAGTTCTGTGGCTGGGTTCTCTGCCATGTCTTCTCACTTCAGGTGGTCCAATAAATCCAACTAGAACCTAGGTATAATGGCATATGCCTACAGTCTCAGCACTTGGAAGGCTGAGGCAAGAAGATTACAGTAAACTGATGGTTACCCTGGCTTACAGTGTGTTCCAGGCCATCCTCAGCTATACAGCACAAGACCCTGTCTCAATAGCTCCCAATCTCTCCCCCGAAAAAAATACAACTAGAAATACCACATTCTCCCAGTAAAAGTTCCACAGAAAGGAGGAGAAGGCAATCTCGGTTATCAGTAGAGGCACTTACCATCCAGCAGGTCTTCCTCGTCATCCCTGTCATGCTCCTCCACTGCCACCTCCTCCTCCTCCTCCTCCTCTTCCGCATCCTCCAGCTCCACGTCCGGGTCCAGGTCTGGATCGCTCCCTGAGGCGGATTCGTCTGACATGGCTCCCAGAAGTCCTCAGTGGGCATTACCGACTCATGGTCCACTATAGGGGTCCTAAGAGGACAGTAAGAGGCATCAGTCAGAATCACCAAGGCTTCACTTAGTGCCAGTCTTCCCAAGAAAAAGATACTGAAGGTGAGTTCACCTGAGCTTTTGAAAGCAAGGCACACTAACCAAATCTGAACCTCGGTCTCCTATATGAGTAGACTACCATGACACGTTTGCTGACTTTGCCCAGTTCAGGCGTTTCAAGGGCTGCTTTGACCAGGAAGTAACTGCCACAAAATAAAAACTGAATGGCTTAGAATTCCCTTGTTCACGCTTTCCTTTTCCTCCTTCCAGTTTCCTGAAAACCATCTCCTGTGCCCACACCTGCATGTCTACACATACACATACACTTATTTATAACCCCAGGCACTATTCTAGGTAGAGCAGGAGGAAAAAGAATACAGGGAGTGTGCGGGGCTGGTGTGTGCCAGGGGGAGCTGCTACTTTACACTGGGGTGTCAAGGGAGTTCTCACTAAGCAGAGACTAAAAGGACTCAGCGAAGCCATGCAGGAGTGTATTTCAGGCAGAGTGAGCATCAGAGGCCAAGCCCTGAGTCAGGGGAACTGGGTATATATACTTAGAGAATAAGGAATGGGCCTTGTGTGGAATAGGGCAGGGTCCGGCCATAGGATACCACCCGACAGTTCACTCTCCAATCAACGGACTCAAGGTCTGGACCTAGTGAGAAGTTGACTGTTTACTATACCATCCGTCACTCTGCTCAAGCTTGCAGGAAGCCTCATGTGTGGGTCTCAGGGGCCATGTCTGCTTTTAGGCTCTTCTCTACCTCTTGGCCTAGTTCCAACCACATCTTTCAAAAAGCTTTGCAAAGTGTCCTCAACTTCTGAAACCACACTTCTCTTCTCAATTCCATTAGCCATACTAACCGCTTGGACCTCAACTGAAGGGTCCATACAGGCTACCCCCTGACCCCACAGTAAACCTCCAGAACAGATGTGTAAATGAGAACTATCTTTATACTGTGAGTATTCCTCTGTCCATATCCCCTGCCTCACTTGTCAATCTGCTATATCACATATATCATGCAGCAGAACTATCTATTCCTTTCTTCTCCCCCATCTCCTTCTTCATCCCTTCCCGGTCTCCGTAACTTTATTGTTAATTATAGAGGGCATCTCTTTCCTCTTCCTCCTCCTCCTCCGCATCCTCCTCCTCCTCCTCCTTTTATTTTGCTTTGTTTTTCGAGACAGGGTTTCTCTGTGTAGTCCTGGTTGTCCTGGACCAGGCTGGTTTTGAACTCACAGAGATCCACCTGCCTCCGCCTCTTGAGTGCTGGGATTAAAGGCGTGTTCCACCACTGCCCGGCTCCTCCTCCTTTTTTGTTTGGGGTGGGGAATGGTTTTTGAGACAGAGTCTCAGGTAGCTCAGACTGGCCTTCAATTGGCATTGTAGCCAAAGCTATCCTCGAACTCCATATCCTCATGTCTTCACCTCCCAAGTCCAAAGATTATAGGTAAAAACCATCACAACTGGCTTTAGAGAAAGTTTCTAGTGAGTAAGTACTTTTCCTAGGAAATCAGGCTTGTAATACTGGAGTAACAATCACAGTAACAAGGAACAGGCTTCTACACCCTCAGTTAACAACCTGCTTCAAAACCTCAGCCAAAAGAAAAAAGAAAAAGAAAAGGCTGGGTACGGTAGCCCAGACCTTTAAACCCAGCACTCAAGCAAAGGCAGGTGGACCTCTGTGAGTTCCAGGACAGCCTGAACTACATATAGAGACACTGTCTAAATAATAAACAACCAAAACAAACACCACAGCCTCAGCCCTCGAGGTCCTGGCAGAAGCAATACCCAACTACTACATACGCTACTGGACATGAGACACCAATGCAGCCCCTCCTTAGAACAGTCTCAAACAGGAGACTGCCAGCCATGGTGGCACCAGCCTGCAATCCTGGCAGAGACAGGAGGATCACCGCACATTTGAGTCCAGCCTGGTCTACACAGCAAGTTCCAGAGCAGCAAAGGTTCCATGGTAAGAGGCAGCGTTCCCACTGTCATTGCCGTCCTCACCCTCACCAGCAGGACAACAGTGTAACAGCAAGGAGACAGGCCACCTGGAACAGAGCCCAGGGAGAGGAGCACAGAGGAAAGACGGATAACAAGCATCACAGCTCAGCAGGGTAACGTGCACAATTCAGCATAGATTATTTCTAAAACATGGAAAAAGGGATTTTAAAGGCTCCCAATACAATAACGGATAATTTTTGAAGAAAGAGAAAAGCTAACTTCTTGACATTGTATAAATGTATCAGATTATATTACCTATAAATATGTACAATTATTATGTGTGGCTCTTTTAAAATTAAAAATGGTAGCCAGACCATCAGATGAGTAGCAGAACAGAAAGTGACTGAATTCTCAGAGAATGTCAAGTTTTTCTTTTACCCATTCTTCCATAGGTCACTAAATTTTTTCTAGAGATGACATAATGAACATTATTCCCAGCTCTTTAGAACCACACCAACTACTTAAGAGGCACTACTACTGATTTTCAAAAAGGTCACAAACAGGGAACTGAGAGAAAGCTCAGTCAGTAAGAGTGCTTGTCTTGTAAGCACAGGGACCCGAGTTTGATTCCCAGAACACTTGATTTTAAACTAACCAACAGCCAACAAAGCCAAGCATTGTGGTACACATTTGTAATCTCAGTGCTGGGGAGGCTAAAACAGATGATAAATCCCTGGGACTCTCTAGCCTGCCTAGCCGGCTTGATGAATGAGTTTCATTCCAGTGAGAGACACTGCCTCAAAAAAATGTGGATGATACTTGAGAAACAAACCCAGCGTTGTTCCTTGGCCTATGTGCCATGCATGTGCGCATACACACACACACACACACACACACACACACACACACAAAAATGTGCGTGATTTGTGGCCTTTGTTCACAAAGCAGAGCATTCTTAGAAAGCCCATGTTGAAATCAAAGAACTAAATAAAGGTGCACACACCAGCACTGGAGTAGTCCATGCAATTTCAAAGATGGACAGTAAGGGTAGCATATGATCCTGTCTTTAAGTGAAAAAAATCTTTCTACTAGACATGGAACAGCAGTAATACTAGAACTTAGGAAGAAGAGGCAGAAAAATTGCTAACTGGAGACCAGCCTAGGATACACAACAAAACCCTGGGTTAGAAAGAGCATCTTTTTCATTGCATGACTTCATTAACTCTGGAGAGTTTTGAATAGTATTAAATTTTCCCAAATGACATCAGAGCAATTCCATAACAAGTACATCTGACTTCATTAAAAATATAAATACTACATACACATACACACAAATACACACACATACAAAATATAAACATAACCCTGGATTTAATAACTTACAAGGGAACATGAAAACACTCAGTCTACAGCATTGAGCAATACCCTGTAACAAAACCCACTAGTAAAAGAATTTATATAATTCAAAGACAAGAAAAGAGTTTAATGCATGTAATCTGTCCAGTCTAGAAACCCACTAGCAGAAGCCCACTAGAGATCACTAAAGTTACTGCAAAACCTCTCCATACAGAATAATGACACTGCTCTGACCACTCCCAACGTGTATTCAAACTCCTACAAGCTTAAATGCCTTGAGTGAATGTCAGTCACTTAAAAGCACACCATGACACAATCTAGGCAGCCACAAAGCTGAACTGATGCACCTGAAACGTTGACTTGGAAACAGAATGAGACTTTTGGCAATCCGGGACTTACGGCGGCGACAAAAGAAAGAAGAGTAAATAAGCACATTTAAGACTCCCAGGAGTGGGCCGCGGAGACAACTAACTCTCTGGAGGCAATGCTGTCTGAGGAGCAGCACCCAGGGAACTGGCACCACATGCAGCAGAAACACAGACTTGATTTACAAAAGGCAGTGGAGAACTGTGGACTCCCGGAGCCACAGCTCTGAAGGTAGCCAGCTCCATGACCTCAGGGAAGTCGGTTCTCCTTTCGTTTCAACCACCTTTCTTATTCCAGCCCAGGAGAGAGGCAGACCTAAGTCAGTTTTCAAGATCTCTTCCTGATTCAAAACAGCAGTTCCTGAAGGGTGGCGAAGAGGTGCTCGAGTCCCCTTTGAGTCAGCCACAAGGTCAAAATCATGCACAGTTTACAAAGTCAAAGTGCAAAAGATACCAATGGATTTTTACATAATAACACAGAAAGTTCTTTGACATTCTTTCAAATTCCATACTGCAGCTAACTTTTAAGAAACCACTGCTTGTCAGAATTGTGGCAAAGTATCAAAGAATAGCACAATTATCTGAAAAGTCCATTAAAAGACTCCTCCCTCTCTAAGTTTGTTTCTATGGAGGCCACACTTCAACGAGGCAAAATGTCAACAACAAAGCATTTACATACAGAAGAGCTAGGAATTCAGCTGTCTCTGTTTATCCAGACACTTTCAAATGTGTAAAACGATTATACTCATTGTTTTTGAAAAGAAATTTTTCACTTAAACAGTTATTTATGGGTTGGAAGCATTTTTGAATGAACAGTAGTATAAAACTCTGGAAAGCCACTAAAAGAAACCAGTCAAAGACGCATTTCATTCTCCACCGAATTATGCCACAGGGAAAAGCGGTGTGTGTGTGTGTGTGTGTGTGTGTGTGTGTGTGTGTGTGTGTGTGTGTGTGTGGGCAATGGTGACCCCTAACAACAGGGGTTGAGAAGATATGAAGATATGATATAAACCTAGACTGAAATTTTCCCACACAGCGGGTGTGGTGACGCACACCTTGCGTTCTAGCGCTCTGGAGGCAGAGGTTGGTGGGTTTCTCAGTTCAAGTCAGTCCGGTCTACATAGTGAGCTCCAGGCCAGTTAAAGCCAAATAATCATACCCATAAAATAAAATAAAATAAAATAAAATAAAATAAAATAAAATAAAATAAAATAAAATAAATCTAAAAAAGGACTGTGGCAGGGAGTCTATATGAATCATTCAGTAATATAAATGAAAATCATTGATTTCTGGGAGCCAGGGAAACGGCT